AAACCGATATTTCTAAACACCACTATAATCTCCACAAATAACAACAAAGCTCTTATTTTCGAAAAAGTAGAAAAAACATTTTGAAATCTTCTTAAGCACAAAAAGACATCTTTGGAAGAAAACAAACCACAATTAGGAAAAGAGTAATTACAAATAAGCTTGTCAATAGTTTAAGAAATCCAGTGTGCAATTTCCTTTCCTTCCATTTAACGTAATTCCTTATCCTCATTCTCCCGTTTTTTCCCTCATCTCGCATCCGCATCATTTTTTTTCAAATTTAATTAGTTTCTTGCTGAAAATTGCTGAAAATTTTGAATCCACAAAAAGGAATTTAAAACCGAACTAAAGGACACTAATAAAGAAGTTGACGAAGATGAAAAACAAGATGTTGAAAAAGCCTAGAAGAATAAAAAGAAAAAAGATAACGATAATGAAAAAAACAGGTAAAGATGAAAAAAAGTGAAAAAAGCTTTGTTTAAAAAAATGGCCAGTGAAGACATCAAAGACGAGAAGTAGTAATCTGTAAACGCTTCGAACGGTTTTTTTCATAAAAATAATGTTAGTCAGAGTGCAAAAAACTAAGATAGTAAAAATTACAAAAAAAACAAGAAATTTGTCAAAATGTGTTGCAAGGGATATTTGTGGAGATTATAGTGGTGTTTAGAAATATCGGTTTAAAAAAACCTCCAAACTTTCAAGGAAAATTAAAAAAAATATATAAAAAGAAACATTGTTTATCTACGAGTGAAAATGTTAAGTTTACGAGTGACGAAATCACGAAATTTTCTTGAAATGTCATACTGCTTTGTAAAGGGTTATTACTGAAATCTAAATTTTCTTAAGCACAAATCTTTAAAACAAAAAAATTCCAGGTTTTTATTTTTAAAAAACTATGTAAAACATTTTGCTTGAAGAAATGGAGATATTGCTCTGGGAAGAGTTTTTACTAAAATCTAAATCTTCTTAAACACAAATCTTTAAAACAAAAAGATAATCTTACATAAAATACACAACTTTTGATGCTTATTGGAGAAATAATAAATCTTTCAACAAGAAAGCTCTTATTTTCGAAAAAGTAGAAAAACATTTTGAAATTTTCTTAAGCACAAAAAGACAATCTTTGGAAGAAAATTACGAAAAGAGTAATTACAAATAAGCTTGTCAATAGTTTAGGAAATCCAGTGTGCAATTTCCTTTCCTTCCATTTAACGTAATTCCTTATCCTCATTCTCCCGTTTTTTCCCTCATCTCGCATCCGCATCATTTTTCTCCTTCGTCCCGAAATTTATATCGGGCATATTCCCGGACTGTTAAATGCCCCGGATGTATTGTACTCAAGCTAAGTAAAAACAATGCGCTTTTGCAAGATTGATGATCGGAGAATCTCGCCGCCTCCCGACCTTGGAGTTACAATCACTCAAAAGCCATCTTCGAGTGCAAAAAGCTCCACGAATCAATAGAACCGTTCTCGGGAGCTTTTCCAGCTTTATCAACTTTTATGACAAGGCCCCCTCTTATACTCGAAAATAAGTCATGTGTTGGTAGCGGTCCCAAGGGCCCTCTTCGCCCAACACGACACCATGTGAAGAGGACCAACGCTTGCGTGATTACTGATTTTAATTGTAAAGCATATCGTGCACTTAATGGACGCAGCTGAATCTACATGAACGTTTGGATGGAATAACGACGCATAAATGTAACACGGCACATGAAACAATTAGCCGGAATTCGGACATGTTCAATATTTACCCCGGGAAAACGACCCAATGCAGCTATTTTTTTTACTCTTTTTACAATTGTCTTGCCTTCATAAAGCACAATTGCTGATGGAGCGAGCAAATGCTTTAATAGCGACTTCTACACCATTTAATAACACCGACGACGCGACGTGACGCAGCGATAAGTTTTTATACTGCAGGAAGCTCACGATTGGTCTTGCTCATCGCATTTGCTTCAGCAAACATAAAACCACCACCGACACAAACACTGCACTTTGTTGGGGCAGGGATAAGGCATTTGAAGAAAATTTACACGAAAAACATTACAAAAAATCTGCTGGAAACATCACACGACTTTCCTTATCCAACTTATTTGAAAAACATCCGTACGACAATTATTTAGTGTTGGAAATCCGAGTAGCAAACCTAACGTTTGTGATTACACGCGAAATGGATCATAGTTGTCGCGGGTTCGAGTCTAGGGTGCAATTTTTTTAGTTTGGTACCTATTATTATTTTTCTTTTATCATCTTTTACTGTTTAGTAAATTTATTGTCTCTTCAACCGTATAATTTTGCGGCCGCTCTACGGCCAATTTTTGGTCTTTGCGGCCGAACGGTGCTACCGATCTTTACCAATTGTTTCGTGCTGTGTCCCCTTCTTACAAGTAACTTGCATACCAAATTTCAAGTTTCTAGCTCTTATCGTTCTCGAGATATGCTGTTTACGGACAAACGACCCAATGACCCAAACTAACTTTTTTAGTGTCTTGAAGCTATAATTCGTCCAGAAATATAAAAATCTGGTAGGTCAAATTTCAGCCAATTAGAATACTTTCCTCATAGGATAAGGAAATTAAAAAGGAAAATGAAGAGAAAAACTAAAGCTTTGGAAGAGAAAATTGCAAAAGTTATATTTAAAATGACTAAATTTTTTGTATATTTGAAAAATTTTAGAGCAATTATCACTAAAAAACTGATTAAAGTTGAAACAATTGGCCAAAACAAAGCAGAAATTTCAAAATTTGACCTGGAATGTGTTTTTGTTTGTTGTTATGAATTTTTTTTCCGAGAAAATTACAAAATTCAAGAAATTTTGCTAAACCAAAGAAGACAAAAAAAAATTGATCACAAATGCATTATTTTTTATTATGAATCCAATGCGTTTAGTGCTGAGAAAATCCAGAATTTGAGAAAGTTTGTTAAAACAATGTAGAAAATTGAAAAATAAATTCGAAAAAAAATGTTATTTCCTATAATTATTAAAGTTATACGAAATAACGTTATATTCACAAAATCTGAGCATTTTTGCTGAAACAACAGAAAAGAATGTAAAATTAAATATGAAAATAAATGGTTTTTTGTTTGTTTTCAAAAATTCAACTCGGTTTTTTTTGAGAAATTCAAAATTTGATAAATTTTATTAAAATAAAATATAAAACTAAAAAATTTTAATACAAATGCATAATTTTTTTATGAATCTGGACGAGAAATTTTAAAAATATCGTTCAAAATTTGCAAAATTAGTTCAAAAGTTTGTTATATTTTATTTCGTTTTTCAACAAAAAACGCTCAAAATTGTAGAGCTTTTGTCAAAACAAAGTAGAAAATTGCAAAAAGTTATATCTAAAATGACAAAATTTTGTTTATTTGGAAAGGTTTAGTGCATTTTTACTCAATAAACTAATTAAATTTAATACACTTTGCCAAAACAAGGCAGAAATTTTACAAATAAACCTGTAAATATGTTTTTTGTTAATTTTTACAAATTCAGAGCATCTTTTCCCAATAAAATCAAATTTTATTCAAATTTTAATTCCAAAATGCAATCATTAAAACATTAAAAATGTTTTAGAAAATTTGCCAAAACATTGCAAAATTTTACATTTTTAGGTAGAATTTAAAAAAACTTGAAAGTTGTACCTAAAATGACAAAATTTTGTTTATTTTGACAAGTTTATGTCACTTTTTACTTAAACACTACTTAAATTTTATACACATTGCCAAAACAAAACAAAAATTTCAAAATTAAACATGAAAATAGGTTTTTGGTGTGTTTGCATAAATGCAAGGCATCTTTTTCAACGAAAAACACCAAATTCGAGAAACTTTTTTAAAATTTTAATTCCAAAATTAATTAAGCTATTTGGGACTGGCATTCTTGGAAACTAGAAGAATTTATCTTTCAATCTGTTTTGTTTTTAATGTTCTCAATAATTTCATCGATGCTCCTGACATTCTTTGTTTATTTAAATTCTGTGTTCCTCATTATTCTGTACGTAAAATCCCCTTCTTTTATATTGATGCTTCTACATCTAATTTTTCCTTGCGTTCTCCCCTCAATAATGTTCTCTGTTCATGTAATCTTTATTGTAAGAGTATAGATTTTTTTACAATTTGCTCCCGTTCTTCGTTTAATTATTATTATTATAAAAAAATAAAATTTGGGCATTGACCATTTTCCACGTGGCCAAGGAGGCTGATCATGGCAAATGTTACGGAAACCAAAGAAATGGATTTCAAGTAAAGTATGCATTATTTATGCTTACTTTAATGTATTTAAAAGGTTTTCTTTAAGAAATTGACAAAATTTTAGATATCTTGTCAAAATAATGCAATAATTTTTTTGCATTTTTCAGCGAGAAATTTTTTTTTTGGGTGAGTAAACTATAGTCCCAACTGACTTTGTGTTTTTACTATTCGATAGAAAATTTAACGCAGATTTTCACGGTATTTTTACCTTTGAAATATAATCCAAAGTTTTACAAAAAAAATTATAATTTTTACAAAAAAAGTCTCTTACATCGCTTTTCCTCAGAGACATTTTTTTTCAATCAGACAAGAACATTGTTGCTTATGTGTATGAAAAATTTTAGCTTATTCGAACAACAGACACTGTCTCAAATAGCGATGTTAAAACATCAACCCTTAATATCTTTATTCCTGTAAAAAAATAATAACCCCAGCAACTTGTAGGACTTTTTCTACTCTATCGAATGAAATTGGTTCCATCTTTGTATTAGAATTAGGGGTCAAAATATTGATAATAGTTTATAACAATTGCTTGTTCGGACAACAGAAACTGTCTCAAATTTGACTCGCACGATTTCAGACAACAAAGCAAGTTAACAAAATTAACAGAAAAAAAGAAATCAACATAGTATCGGTTTTGAACCACAATTTAGTGATTTTTTGATTGCTAAAAAGAAACCAATCCCTTGAAAAATGTTGGGCTGAGTGTTTTCATGTTCAGCGAGCTCATCCACATCTCTGTTGTTTCCAGAACCAGACACGGAGATCGTGGGCGGTCCTGAGCTGTTCATTGATCGAGGCAGCACCATCAACCTTACCTGCGTGGTCCGGCACAGCCCGGAGCCTCCGGCGTACATCTTCTGGAACCACAACGATGCCGTAAGTATCCCACAACCGGAAAAACTCCCCCCACCCCCATCAACGGCAAACTGACTAATTTCATCCCAACAAACAACAGTATTGTCGCAGTTTTATCGTCCGGAAAATGGACTTCGACGAGTTTTCCCCGACGACGCGTTAATTACGCGACGGATTTCCACTTCATAAAGGCGACGTGTCACATTGCGGAATTACCGCCATATGCATTCGTCGGCGACGGGTTTATCTCGCGGTTCACACCGTCGGAAAACTTTTAAATTGCGAAATGGATATTTTTCATAACAAAGGAAATGATAGTCTGCCATCCGGGGCAAAGCCCAACTAATTCAACACAACTTTTATAACGAGATTAGGGATTTTTCACTGAAAATGCACCCAGACAGCGTTTACCACCAGTGTTACAGGGTGGACAAATATAACTTTATCACATGACAATAATTTCGACATTGCCCCGCCATACGAATTATTCGCATCAATATTCATTAAGTCTTACTGTCTAAATCTTGTATTTTAAAAACTTGACATGATAATTTTCATAAATAATATAGGTTTATCATACATTATTAATATTGCAAAAAGTTGCAACCAATTAAAAAAAAAATAACAAAAAAAATAAAATTGTTCGTGCGTGGTCATACGCACGCCACTGATAAAAGTTACAATAAAAGAATTTCCAGGAAAAAAAGCACTTTCAATAGCTTAGAATGTCTGTAAAATTTTATGAAAATAACTAGAATGGTTTCGGAGAAACTAACAAATTTTAATTTTTATTATAGAACTTTAACAACCTGTAGATCCCTAACAAAGCTTTAGAGGAACATAATTTATTTAAAAAATTTGAGTTTATTCTCGATGTAGAATACGTGGTTGCAATTTTAAGAAAACACCTTGTATATTGAATTTCTGGTCAAAGTCGACTATGATTTAATTAATTAGTTAAACCCGCGTTTCATGCATTTTAGGTAATTTTTAAAGCCCAAAGAGACATTAAACGGTGTAGTTTTGTTTGATTTAAAAATTCCTATTATTTTTCAAAATTATATAAAAAATCAAAATTTCTCAAAAATTGCCAGATTTTGCAATTTTATGTTTAGAAAGCCATGTTTTTTTTGGTCGACACTTAAGCACAGAAAACAAAATGTGCGATTCCTCCGATTTTTCAAAATTAAAAAAAAACGCACAAAATCTATAAAAAACGATTTTAATTTTGGATTTTCTGATTTTTTTTTCAACTTCTTGCAAAGTAGAAAATTAAAATTTTCTTTACATTATACGTAATTGATCTAAACTTCAAAGTCGCAATCCACTTTGATCAGAAATTTAATCGAATGTGTGATATGTTACGTTGTTAATAACTATACCAAATGTGCGAAAACTAACATCAAAAAAGTGATATAAAAACAACTCAACTTTAAAAAAAAATTAAAAAATCAAATTAGACGATACTGTCAATATTTCCAAACTTTACCCACATCTAGTTACCTATGATGACTAAAAATGAGTTTATTTCACTTAATTAAAAACCATTTTAACTCTTTAGAATTCAAAATTACAAAAAATTAAATTACTTCGACCAAAGTAGCCAAAAACTTATTATACAGGGTGTCCAAAAAAGAGCGCACCAACTCAGTAATATGTTGTTGTGACTTCACAATGCAGAATACCAAAAAAAATATTAAAAAATTTTTTGACATACACTACTTATTTTAAGTTCTTTAATTCACATTATTTGTCCAAGTTTTATATTTTACTTTAAGTAATCGTTTTATATTGTTTTTGCATGTACTCTCAGTATCTAACAGTATTTATTGTTGATCAAGTAGGCAACATTGTCACATCCAGTTTTTTTTAATACGTTTTTTATTAATAATTTTACTAGATATACTTAATAGTTTAATTATTTTTATCTCTATACCTGGTGAACAGAAAGTATGGAACCAAACGTTTTTTATTTAAACTACTTATTTTTTGAAAAAACTAATTGATGAATGTAAAGTACTATACAAATGTCTCTCAAAAATCAAAATTTTCGATTTTTTTTGTTTTTGAATTCTGGGAAATTTTTAATTTTTTAATCCACTATACATTTTTTTACAAGAGCTGATCTAAAGATTACAATTATTTACATTTTATGCAGTTTTTATCGATTTTTTTTTATCTAAGTACAACATGTTTCAAAATGATTTTCATAATCACCCATTAACTTGACTGAAAATTTAGTTTTTGTTTCAAAATTCTGAATCCTCTTGCGATTTTCCCGGGAAACTAAACCCAATTTGAACTGAAAAATTAATTATAGTATACTTTGACTGAAATTGAAAATTATTAAAGTTTAGCATTAATTTCTTAATTTTTCTTTATTTTGAAAAAACTGTTCCTGGTATCTTAGCTTACTTAAAATTTTCTTCTAGAGCACGAGTTCTGACACACCCTGTATAAGACAATAAATAAATTAAATAAATTCATCACATGGCAACTACTCCGACATTGCCCCGCCGTAAGAATTATTCGCATCGAAATTCCACTACTTGGTGTCCAACTCTTGTATTTTAAAAACTTGACTAAAATTCAGTTTTTGTTTTAAAATTCTGAATCCTCTTGCGATTTTCCCGGGAAAGTAAACCCAATTTTCCGACACTGAAAAATGAGTTATAGTGAACTTTGACTGAAATTGAAAACTATAATAGTTTAGAGCATTGATTTATTTATTTTCGCAGATAATAAGTTACTCTTCGACGAGGGGCGGCGTCAGCGTGGCCACCGAGCGCGGCGAGACCAGCCGCAGCGTGTTGCTGATCCAGAAGGCGCGCCCCTCCGACTCTGGCAATTACCAGTGCAACCCCTCCAACGCCCGGACCGCCAACGTGACGGTGCACGTCCTCAACGGTAGTACCAACCTTGCAACTGTTAAATTTTTAACCTTTGTTTGGCAGGAGAGCACCCCGAGGCCATGCAACACGGCGGCAATCAGCGGATGGGCCCCTCGTTAGGGGCGCTGGCTTTCATCTCCTACGTTCTGTTGGTCTATTGTTAAGTTTCGAAGAGTTTTAAATTCCGTTTAGTCGTTGCTCTGATGGTGTATAATGTCGACGTGTCTGTTAAATGCTCTCTATCACCGTGTATATTCCATCGACGGCTACGACGCTCCTACGTCACGACGTCTTCATCCATGTAGACTATTATTGTATATACAGTTATGGCAACTCGTAGATCTAAGTCAAAAGTTGTTGGTTTATTTTCTTAAGTTGACAAACTACACGTTTATGTATTATATACTTTTGACCGACACTACTAATTTTAATAAACAATTCAATTTTTATGCACCATTACTTCACCCACAACAAAAAATCATTAAACAACAAAGAACATTCAAATTTTCTCAAAAAATTCATGATATTGATCTATGCACTGCTTTCATTTAGATGAATCATTATTTTTATTCAATCCCCTATGTTAAAATTGAATTTTATCTACTCTTTTCTTCATGTTAAGATGAAATTTTATTGTCTACATAAAAAAAATACATCCATTGTTGTATATCTGCGGTTGTTAGTTGCTAACGATCTTTGACATTAGATTTCATTGTTGAATTTTACTTTGACATATATAAATATTGACCAGATTAACTACAAAATTTGTGAGGATTGAATAAAATTTTATATTGTACACAACTATAAAATTTTCATTATCTTTTCGAGCATATTAGTGTCTCAACTGTCGCCTCAACGCTAAATTACTCTCCCAAGATAAAATTCAATTTTATCGTTTTCTATAACAAATAACTATTTATTAAAATCAAACTCCTCTGAAAAAGAAAGAAAGAAATTAATGAAAACATTTCATTAAAAAAATGAGAAAAAACAACAATAATAAATAGAAGAAATAACAAACAGGCTTTATTGTTCTTGAAAATATTTTTTTAATATTTTCTATTAAAAATTTTACAAAACAGAAAAATAAACCATTTATTTTGATGCACCGTACAATTAGTGCTTTTCTATGATGTAAATTAAAAAACACAAAACTATCATTTTTATTCATTCCTTATTTTTCTGTTTAATATACTGGTAATAATGTAATAAATGTTTTATTAATCAATTTTTAAATTTTATCAAAACAAAACAATTAAAAAACAGTAATTTGAAATGATAAGTCTTAAAAACATGACAATGCTAAGCATTTGTTTGCAAAATGTGCAACTCCAAGACTATTTAAAGTTTTAATTCTGGAAAAAATGAGAATACTACAGTGTCACCGTGTGATTTCTTCTTTTCGGTGAAATGTTATTGAAAAGTAAATGTTCTAAAAAAGATATTTTCAAAGAAGATGATGTTATAATTTTTTTTTCAACATTTCAACATCGTATTATATACTTATCGTGGCATTTTGTCAATTTTGACATTATTTAAACAAATTTCTTTATAACAATTTCCGAGACAATTTCTAAATTTTTATTAACTTTAGATTTCTATTTAGATCTGATTAGTGTTAGAAAAACATTTGAAAACAACGCAAGTTTTATAGTTTAAAACTCTTGTCTTAATAGCCATTATTGTAAATTGTTTTATAAAGAAATTTACATTTTTT